TTAAGATCTGTCTTGTAAAGCTTCATGAGGTTTCTGATACTCTTCCTTCCCAATTCCATTCAGTCTCCTTTGTGAGTGACTGAAAACTGCGTCACTCCTCTTCTCTCCGACGTTTTTGCACATATCTGCTGATATAAACTAAAGAGAGAATGCATGAGCATTGAAAACAAGGGTTTTGGGTTTAGGGTATGGTACCAGATAAAGATAAACTGGTCATCTAGGACGACAAAGAGTGGTAAAAGTGAGGGTAAAAGACGTCCTAGATGTGTATGTCGATGCCTGCCTAAAATCAATGATGAGAAAATTACATGTCAATATTAAGGTCAAATAAAATGAGCTAGTATATCCTGTCAGAAAGAATCTCCATGAATAGAAGTTCTCTGGTGGGAGTTCGTAGTGCAAGTACTCTACCTACCGCCTAGTCTAGTGCTAACCACAAATGAGCTCTCATGCATAGTGTAGAAGCGTGCAGGTCTAAATCATCATAGTTTTGGTGTCAAACATTCCTGAAAAATACTTAATGTTGAATAGGTTACATATTAAAATTTAAAAAGTGCTTGAAATTTGAAAGCAAAAGCAAAAAAATGATTAGTACGGATAGACATCATCCCCCAGACTTAAATCACACTGTCCCCAGTGTGAAAAAGTTGGTGAGAAAATGGTGAATAAAAGCGAAATAAAATAAGATAAAAGAAAATAAAATGATGATAGAACCGTGATGGCAGTGAAGTGCTGATCAATCACTCATCCTCCGATGTGTCTGCTGCGAACTGGTGCTGCTCCTGTAGGAAGGTGACAACGCGCTCAAAGCGTCGTCCCTGTCTCTCAACTCTGCGCTCCAGATCAGAATGTGTGTGCGATGATGTAGATGATGAGGTGTGGCCGGTCGAAGCAGATGGCTGAAAATGAGCACGGGCCGCAGCTGCATCACGCTTTGCCTTGGCCACTATGTATTGGCCAATGGTGAATGGTAGACGAGGTACAGATGGCAGAAATTCATCGGGTTCCAGAGTCCATCACGGACGTCCTCCGTTACACAATCTCGGGACTGATGCTGAAGGCAAGCAGACTCGGTGCTCCTCAGTGCCAGTGCATTACTTGTAACCAAACCTGTCTGGATCGAAAGCGGCACGAGAGATAGTGTGATCGCGAGAGAGATAAAGTAGGTCATACCAGACATCGGGAAGTGGATCATCAGATGAGAAATCAAATCCTACAGCCTGTAATATCAATGTAATAGCACTCCCGTAAGCTGGAGTAGCGTCCTCGCAACCATGTAAATCATGATTCACCTTTACCATGTTCTGTGCTATGATCCAGGCAAAGCAGGCAAGTCGTGGGTCATCCATAAATGGCATCTGAAGTGTAATGAGCTCGGTCTTCAAAACACATCCCATGTTGGCTCTAGAGAAAATCGTGTGTGCTAAGAGTTTGTGCACAACTCTCACTGCAGGATGAGTAAAAAGGGCTGACTTGGATCTCCCGCTATCATAGACTCCATGACCCATCTCTCTCCACAAGTTAAAATCGGGTTCATCTTCAAGGTTAATGCCATCGGTGTATGGAAGCTTAAGTGCCTCACAAAATACAGAAACGGTGAGCGAGTAAGGCTGTCCGCGGATAGAGAATGACAAGATGCCATCTGATGCTCTGGGGTTCCTCCTCTTCGTGTGGTGGAGTGTAATAGTTGCTAAGAACTCGCAGACTAGCTCAGGATAAGTTGGAAGGTTCAGCTCCATGTAGGGTCTCAGCTTAAGTGCATCGATGTACCAGATTACATTTTCTCTGATTCCAAGCATCTCAAGTGTATGATAATCAATACGGGGCGTGGGCTTGATGTTCAGCTTCTTGAAACGTCTTGCATAGTCCACTCTCGGGGTTATCTCCTTGCCAATGTATCGGATCTGCGGTGGCTCGGGAGTTGCTCGTGTTTCTCTTGAGTGCTGGAGCAATCTCATCACATAGTTTCTTCTTCTTGGTCTGGCTTGGTTCAGCATGTACTCTCCAAGAGTAGCATCATCGGGAATGTCCTCAGAGCTGTCACCAGTGCGACGGCTTCTTCGGGATCTAGTTTGTTCCATTTTTCTGCAAGATGAGATGATTCTTGGAAAAAGAGTGAATATGGATGCTGATTTTAACACATTAACGATCAGTTATACTAATTTTAGTATCAAGAGATTAGTCAAAACCAAGAGCAAGCATATTTGACATTGAATTGAAGAAATCGAGTAGTTCATGACTAGATTCGGATTTTTGATGTTCTCAACATAGAAATCTTCTAAAAATCGGTTTTAATGAGCACTTTCCATGTCAAATATATAGGTTACCTAATACTAATCACTAATCACACAAGACTTAATCAGATTCATCAATTTTGCTGTTCCAAATTCGATTTTTATAAAGCATGTGAAATCCAAATTTCAAAAATCTCAATTCCTCTTAAGCTAGGTGTTAAAATCGATTTTTAGATAACCTAAAAGGATAATCTATTGTTCTTAAGTTATTTCCACCATCAATAAACCAAGATTTGGGCTTTTTAAGAAAACCCTAAGTTCTAAAATCAATTAAAAATGGCGAGTTTGAGCTTCATACCTTGCTGGAAAGAGAGGTTTGATGACATAATTGAAGTCAGCTTTGAAAAAGAGTGAGATTTGGGCCAAGAATCTCTTAAAAAGCTTAAGAATTGAAAAATGTGTTCTATCTCCTAAATCTTCAAATCTTTTGGAAGAGAAGAGAAAAAGGAGTTTTGATCCAAAAAGTGCATTTCCATTCTTTAAAAAGCGTTTTTGTAGCAAAAACGGGAAATATTCGGGAATTCATAAGTTTACGGGAACTTACCTTTCTTGTCTTGCACGCAACAGAGGTTTAAAACTTACGGAAAATCTTAACGAGCTTTACCATGAATGCTCCGGAAATCATCGGGAACTTTGAAAAGCGGCGGAAATCCGCATTCTCATCTCAACGACTAACGGCCGCGGTCAGGAGACGCGCGACCGCAGCGATCATGGGCTCGGCCGCGGTCACATTCACGGTGCCGCGGTCGATGCTCCCTTGGCTGCGGGTCAGTTGGTCGCGACCGCGGCCCTTTCTCCTGCGGCCTTTGTCCCACTTTCAGGTCTTCGCCGGGGCGAGCAGCTAAAAACCTACCTTTTTCTTCTTGGTTTTTCTAATTTTCTGATTTTTTTGTGTTTTTTTTTATAAAATACCTGAAACTAAAAAGAAAAAGAAAACATAAATTGTAAAATGGAAAAGAAAACTAAAAAAAGAGTACTTCAATGGGTTGCCTCCCATTAAGAGCTTTTGTTTTAAGTCGTTTAACTCGACGTAGGCATGAAGAATCAGGCTGATTTGAATGGCACTCCACTTGATGTGCCCTTATCACTTCCAGTCGCTGGAGGTTTTACTTCTTCTCCTTGAAGAGCCGTCTTCTTTCCTTTACTCTTCTTTCGGACTTTAACATTGTTTAAAACCCTTTTTGTGTTTTCGATCAGCTCCTGGATTCGGTCCTCACTAGTTTCTGTTGCATCCGGTGGAATGATGATCTTGATCTTTGCAAAAGCTTTCGGTTTCTCCTTTTCTTTCTCTTTGGCCGGTTTCCTTTGCTTGGAAAATCATCTAGGATAGTCGGATAAAACCTTCTGCGATCTACATTGAGGAAAACAGCATGCCGATTTGCGTGATCGATCACTGCTCCTGCGGTAGCTAGGAATGGTCTTCCAAAAATCAGTGGCCTCTCCTTGTCTTTATCAATCTCCAGGACTTGGAAATCAGCTGGAACAATCTTGTCTCCCACTAGAACTTGTAGATCATGAATCGCCCCTTCAATATCTTTTTCAGATGAATCTCCAAAGATAACCTTAACCGTCGATGTCCTTAAGGTTTTTATGCCTAATTTTTTGGCAAATGTCTTTGACATGATGTTAACATTGGCTCCGGAATCACACAGGCAGTCTGTGAACTTGATTCCTGAAATGAAACATTGGAAAGCAAAACGTCCCAGATCGTCGGCTTTTGTAAGCCTTTGAAACGGTGATCGTTGAAATACCTTAAATGGCGGCTGCTTGGCATCGACATCCTTGTAAAGTGGTACAAAGATTGGGGTTTCTTCTTTCTTTCCATCGGTTCTGGCCTCTTCTTCGGGCAATGTGGTTATGGCGTTGCAAAACCTCTTAGGGTTATCTTCAACTTTTCCTGGAAGAACTCCACTTTGCCTCTTCATAGAGTCGGCTGTTTGGGCAACTTGCACGTCTAGCTTTTTGACGTGTGAAGATAAAGCTTCAAACTTCCCGTTCAGGTCATTGTACATGCAGTCAACCTTCATGTTCATGTCTTTAGATGCTTTTTCGTTCGTCATAACGAGCTGTTGGATGGACTGTTCAAGTCTACCGATTTGTGAAGCTAGCTAGTTTGTCGTGACTCCCTGCTGTTGTACAAATTAATTGTTAAAACCCGTACCTTGGTAGTTATATGGCTGTCGCGGTTGATAAGCTCCTGTTCCTCCGAAGTTCCCACCTTGGAACTTGTTTTGGAAAGATTTTTGTTGTGGTGGTTAGTACTGATCTTGAGAATTCTCCACATTTGGATTCCGGAAGTTGTTGTTGAAACCATTGTTGAAGCGATTTGGGTATGGTGCTTGTACTCCTACATAGTTCACCTCTTCTTCTTGAAAGTCTTGATTAATGTGATCGATATCACTAGGTCCTTCATCTTCTGCGCCATTGTTGGTCTCACAAGCATGGATTGGGCGATTGTTGCTCTTCGAAAGCTGGCTCATCATGTTCTTCAACTCGGTCATCTCTTTGTTGTCTATTCCGGTTTGCTTCGTCGAGCGATCGTATTCAGGACAATCAATGCTATTGGCTTGAGCCAAATTCTCGATGAGGGCTCTTCCTTGTGCTATCGTCTTTTGTCCAAAATCTCCATTGCTAGCTGTATCAAGCGAAAGTTTGTATTTTGGTTGCAAACCTCGGTAAAATGTGCTCAGCAGGCTTGATCCAGGAAATCCATGGTGAGGGCAATCACGTTCATACTCCTTAAAACGTTCCCAGGCTTCATAGAAAGATTCATAGAAAGATCTTTGTTCTCAACAAGTTCGACCTTGACTTAGTATAGAAGTGATTCAGGAAAGCAGTTTTACACTCTTCCCAATTAGTAATCGATCCTGCAGGCAAAGATTTCAACCAACGGTGAGCTTTGTCTACTAATGAAAAAGGGAACAACTTACACTTTAAATAGTCTGCTGGAACTTGGTTTGTTCTCATCATGCTGCAGATCTCTTCAAAGAGCTCGATATGGTCCATTGGGTGTTCAGAAGGAACTCCATGGAATTGGTTTTGTTTCACCAATGAGATAATTTGAGGCTTGACTTCAAACTCATTCCGGTTCGGAAATGGAACTTGAATTCAGATCGGTTCTGAAAATTTTAAGTAGGTGCATCAAAATCAGCTATGCGATGGTTCCTGACTTGTCATCGGTGTTGATTTGCTGGCTGCACAGGGCGGTTAGCGCGCCCATTCGGCTGCATTCCTTGGTGGTCACCATCGGCTGCATTGATAGGTGCATCAAGGTCTTCACGCTCTTCTCTCTCGCGGTTTTGGTGGTTCCTTGGAGGAACCTCATCCTCCTCTCCATCTTGTCGAGCATGATCACCTCTTCTGTGATCATTCTCTTCATTTTCTTTATGTTCGGACCCGTCTTGGTCCATATTTAAAGCTCGGTTAATAGGATCCCCAGGCTGGTCGTCGTTGGCCATTCCTTGCAGTCGGCTAAGTCTTCGAAGTTCTCTTTCGTGTCTGTCTATCTCGTCTAGAATTGGAATGTTTTCTACAGGTCTGCGCCAGGTATTCATGCAATTCAGAGAAAAACAAAAGAAGGGAAAGATAATTCAGAAAAACTTTAAGAAAGAACTAGAGATCAGGTGTCTAGAACAGAAGCTAAAACAAGAAAAATAACAAAAGGCAGCGAAACAAATCCCCAGCAACGGTGCCAAAAACTTGATGCGTGTCAACTGCGTGAGGGAACAAGTTTTACCCTTAACAAAAACAAATGAAAGCCGCAAGTGCACAGCTAATCAGTTGTAGTATTTAGGATCGAATCCACTGAGATTTGTGTGCCTGGTATTCTTCTACGGTTTCTAACTTTATGTCTAGACTAGATTAGTTTTAAAGGTTGGTTGTTTTTCACGGATTAAACTAAAACAAAAGAAAGCAAATAAATCTATCCTAAGGAACAAGTAGAACAATCGAATGAAAATAAAGTAAAGCAAGCAAAATATCAAACTAAAGCAATTGAAATGCAGATCTAAATAAGCAAGTAAAAATCGATTGGTTTGTAAACTATGGCTAAAAACGCTGAGCTTTCGGGAACTCTACAGGGATCATAATAGGTTTTGACACTAGGGTAGATAGGTTGGGATTGACGGATATCGATATATAGGGTTCTAGAGCTAGAGTACGGCGGTATGACTACGTCAGTGTCGTGATCATAACAAACTGTTTCTCGCAACCCTGGCCAGTAGGTTTCCACTCTGGCCCTGGAAAGGAGAGAACGCAAGAGCTGCACAAGACGCGTCAATACTCAAGATCTCGCCGCACGTAGGTTTCCACTCCTACGGAAAAATTGCCTTTTTCATTCTAGGGCTGATACTTATTGAAAACTTTCGCAACACTAACTATCTAGATCAGATACTATGTGATCAATCAAGCATACATTCAGTAAGAACAAGAATAAACAGAGAACAAAGTTGAAATCACAGATCTATAAACCTAGATGTCTTAATCAATTATGAGAGCCCCTTTCGGGAACCCTAAGCCCAACTCGGGATCTACTCAGACATGGCTGAGGTCGACATCATCATTGGTTTTAATAAAAGTAATCAAAAACAGTAAAGAAAAGAGATGAAAGAAAGCTTCTCTATTGAAGAACTCGGACTTGAACAATCTTCTACAAAAATCGCCTAAAACGGCTAAAAGAAAAGGGTTTCTGTAAAGTATGAAGGGTACGTGTCTAAAAACAACCTAAATGACAAGTATTTATAGTTTTCAATACTCCGTGGTCTCTAGGGTTCCGGAATTGAGGCTGAGAATGACTTTGGGCTTCAGAAATATGGGCTTTAGTTCGGAGTTGGCTGGCCGCGGCCGGGAATGACGTGGGAAATAGGTGGCTGGCCGCGGTCAGGAGGCTTGTGACCGCGGGGAATGGGCTGGTGGCCGCGGTCGCTTGACTTGCTGGCCGTCTTCGAGTGGCTCTGGGGCTAATGGAATATCTTGAGATCCAGCCGTTGGAATGTCTCCAAACTAAGTGCATTTGAAAGCTGGTTGATTCTTCTATAAGTTGTCCAATTTTGAGGGTGATCAGACGGTGAGAGGTCTTCGTCTCTCCATGAGAGTTCTGACAGTCTGCATTTATCCAAAAGAGTCTTTTTGTTCCAATTTGTGCATCTTTATCCCAAATTACCTGAAAAGTCTTTTAAAATCTGAAAACATAGAAATCCTTTGAAAACCTTTGAAAATGGAGTACAAACACCTGTAAAAGAAATTAAAGTGATCCATAAAAATGGTCAAAATCCGGTGTTATCACAAGCTTTCCTACCCGCGGCAAACAGCCATTCACCACAGTCCCGTCCTTCCCGACCGCGGAGATTGGTCTGTCCAGAATGATTCCACCATTTGGAGAAACCCTAAGTGACGATTTGGACACTATAAATACATGTTTTTAGAAGCCCTAGACGAGCGAGACACATACAATTTTATTCTTTTTGCAGGTTTTAAGTTTTTGTCTTTCATTTTCTAAGTTGGTAGGTTAGGGAGATAGAGATCTATCTCTTAACCCTCTTTGTTCTTCTATCATATCGATTTCTACTCAGATTTTTAATACAATGTTTTTGCTTTCGTTCATCATGTCTGAGTAGTTTTATTGTTGGGTTTAAGGGATTTTCGATGGGGGATATATATGTTCGATGAGGATTCCATTAGCTATTGAAGCAGAATCCTAGAACATTTTCTTCTAAACTTATTTATAATGCATGAGAGTTGCGTCATGAACTAGAATCTAATCTAGGTTTTGGGTGTTGCGAAAGTTTTCATTTGAGGCCAGATCTAGTTCGAGAAGAGCATATTGACTATAGGAGTGGAAATCTACCTATGGGAGAGCTGGTGAATATTGATGAGTCTTAAGCATATCGCATCTTTTCTCTTTCAGGGCCAGAGTGGAAACCTACTGGTCAGGTTGAGAGAGATAGTTGGTTATGATCACGATAGTGGCATATTCATACGTTCGTGACTCGAGTTCTAAAAGTTTTAGCTAGAATCTTTTTGAATTTACTCTTTAGTAATGTTTTGAATCGTTCATCCCCCGAAGAGAATTTTCCTGAAAACCCAGCGCCTCTTTTCTACAGATTTACATTGATTTTCATTCAAGGTTTTAGTTTAGTATTACATTCACTTAGCTGATTTTCATACAAGCGATTTAGGTTTAGCCGTTTTCTCGTTTTTAGTCGTTTTCTTTAAGTTTAGTTATTAGGTCATTTTAATTCCCGTATTTTTCCGTTAAGATTAGTTTTTACGTTTTAAAGACACCACCAAAATCCCTACAAAAATCGTCTGATTCTAGACTTCTTACTTCACATTTCTTTCGTAGGCTTTTGCAAGAAATATCCTCCTTCCCTGTGGATTTGATTCCTAAGTACTACAACTGATCAGCTGTGCACTTGCGGCTATTGATTTCATTTAGGGTAAAATTTGACACACCCTCACCGCACACATCAAGTTTTTGGCACCATTGCCGGGGAAGGCACGCGTTTTTTTTTCTGCAAAACCCTAAGAAAGGTTGGTAAATTGACTCTAGAACCCTTTTTCTGGTTATATCCATTTTTTGGTTCTTTTTGTTTCAGTTCCCGAAGCAATGAACCCTATAAATTGAAATCCCTACTACGAGGGAGGTTTTTTAAACACCCCTCAAGCCACCAGACGCATAGAAGAGCAATACATACGCGACCTCTTGGACGAAGTTCGAAACTTAAATCCGAACTACCGAGCATTCCTGGACGATCCCTACACACCTCCAAAAGTAAACCCTAGATCACCTATGCATCGCCTACCTCACCAGATTCTCCAGCAAGATGAGAACGTCCACCTCAGTAATCGATTGGAGCAACATGAAGCCATAATCAAGCAGTTCATCACAGCTCAATCCATCTCTAGACCGCCCTTCATGAGAGAATTGACAACATGTGAATTCACTTCAATAAGAAGCTTGAAGATCTTTCTGATCAAGTCAAATCCATCGAGATTCAGGCAAACAAGGATGCCGAGATTATCAAAGGAAGAATAGACGCAGTTGAAGAACAAGTTGGAGAGAACGAAGTCAGGATTCGTAAGGCTAGTGGAAACATCCACACCTTAGAGATCAAACTCGATGAAGCAGAAGAAACTATCAATGATCATAACAACCACACTTACTACTACGTGGAAGAGATTTGGGATGGAGTACACAAGGTTCGAGACAAAGCAAAAGAGATTGACTCAACCATAGATAAAGTAGTCTATGCTCTTGATGAAGTCAAAGAAAAAGTTGAAAGCTTATGCAAGAGCACAAACCGTATGGTTTAACACTTCCCATCAAAGATCTTGACACAAGAGAAGAGGAAATAGAGGTGGAAGATCCAAAAAACCATTTAGAAGGCAAAGAAGAATATGAAACGACTAAACCACCTCGGAATCCCTCACCAGCGGTCGCACCTCCCGCGACTGCGGCCAACAGTCCTCCGGCTGCGGTCGTGAGCCCTCTACCAGCACAAAACGCCCTTCCACCGCGGTCGTATGTCCTCTACCCGCGGCAAACCATCGGTCAGATTCACTTCAGTCTTCTTTTATTCTTACTGGCCAATGTTCGTTAGATGCAACTTCTGGAATGGTCAGGATCCCTTTTCTTGAGCAAACAGTGTACGCCATCAGCTCAAAAACATCTCAAGAAGAAGATGAGGTACTTCCTTGCAGCATAGTTTTAGCTTATGAATATGAAGGACAATACCTTGAAGACGAAGACTATCGTGTGTTCATGGAAGGAGGCAATCCAGACAGATTGGTGGTACTAGGAGCACCAATCTCTAGA